AAAAAAAAGTGAGAGAGAGAGAAAGAGAGAGAGAGAGTCTCACGGTGTAACACGCCGTATTACCGAGCCTTGTCTATATTTTATACTATACACACCGGTTCGATTAAGATGTACGTTTAATTAGCACAACAAGACGTATGATTTCACGTAAAAAATTACCATCCCGGAGTGCGAGGATCCTCGGTCGATCGATTCCCTTATTCCTGAATATTCAACGACGGCGGCTTTTCAACCGTGGTGAGCCACGGCTCGCCTCTTCTCCTCGGTACGAAATCGAGCTTCTTCTTAGCAAAGGGAGCTAATTAGAGATTTATTTAGCCGCGGGCTCCGACGTCTTCTCGTCGGCGGAATTGTTTCCCCGGTTTCGCGCAGATGGATAGCCCTTTCAAACGACAGAGGAAAACGTGTAATTACTTTACTCGCCAGTGCGAGTGCCAGCTTGATGAATGGTAGAAAACGTTTCTTCGTGTCACTCATATCTGATATACGCTCATTGTCAGGAAACAATTGTTAAGCACCGGCAGAAATAAGCTGCTCTCTGCCCCATAAATCAACCGCGATACGCAACCCGGCTATTTCTCGCGCGGCTTTTCTACGCGCGTAACAACAATTTCCTATAGGTCATTCAGTTGTCGTATTCTTATGCAAACCTTGGCCGCGCGGTAAATAATCGCGCCCTATTAGATCGGTTTTCTGTTTTCCAAGCAGCCGCGCGCGCAGCTTGCTTGCTTCGTCCTTTTTCCCGCCCGCGAAGACTTGTCCCTTTCTGCACGCACGCGTTCTAACGCCGTGTGGATCCGTGCTCGCGGATCTGAAAATTATTGCTGTCCGCCGCCTCGATAGGCATTGTGTTAGAAAAAAATCGGAGGATAACACGAACCGACGCGAACACGTCGCGCTCTGCTACCCTATTGTATTTTAATAGTCCGCTTGCTGCGCAACCTCGAACGAACTGGCTAATGGGAATGCCACGAATTTCTCACGGATCGATCTTTTTTTTTTCTCTTCTTCTTCTTCTTCTTCTTCTTTTTTTGCAATCGACGCACGCACTTTCGCGTGCGCTCTCGCCCGAGCTCTCTATTCGAGAGAGTGATTCTCGTCGTTCGTCTAACGAGAGTCTTCCCGAGAGTCCTCTCACAGTGGAAAGATTTGCTCGAGAGGAGAATTTGCTGGAATATTTTTACGTCTTCAAGCTTGTTGGATTTTGGTGATTGCCTTTGTTATCTGCTGTTTGCACGTAGATAAGTGAATTCGAGACTTTGCGAGTGGATCAAAATTGAAGAGATAAAGCAACGGCGAAGAGGTGAATCGACGCGAGTCACTTCTTGGCAAAACGGTCAAATGGAATTTTAACTCTAGCTAGCTCGTCCCAAATTAACAAACGTGCAAATCTGTCGATCGACTCCCACTCCAAAAGGCTCCAAAAGCCTGAAATTAGTAACACGAACTCTTTTCCATCTGAAAACGTTCGAACGATCTTGACTGTCCGTGTCGTTTTGACAAATGGACGTCTATCAGTTGCGTCACAGAGAGACAGAGAGTCGAATCGGTAACGAGTCGAATCGAAAATATTTCGTTATCGCGGTCTCGTTACGATCCGTCCGGGGGCGAATGAAGTCGTATCGGCCGGTGGAACACATAAAAGTGCTAAATTCCCGATTAATAACCGGTAGTTTTTTGCGGGGCCGGTTCCACGCCGCACGAGCGTTCACCGCGGACAAACGACAATATTGGATCACGTTCCTATTATGTCTTTACAGCGCGTAATTTCGCGGCCGACAGATAAATAGTCCGTTGAAACGGCCACGATAAAGCTTAATCACCGTTATTGCACCGGTTTGATATCGCAGGTTCCGACTCTCTGCCACTCTTCGTGCGTTCTTTCCGCACCCACGCGTGCACCCAATAATATTATACAAACGGGAAGCTCGTCAATGTCGATTTACGGGGAGATTGGGAAATGGACACGTTGATCGGTCGTCTGACAAGCAGAGACAAGTGGGACCTCGTGCGAATCTCCAAATTTTTATCACATTCGTCGCCTCTTGGCGTGCGTCGGTTTCTTCGAAAATTAACTAATTGTTTAATTAATGTCTCGAGAAACGCAGAAATAATAAAAAGATACAGATCTACTACAAGTAGATTCTAGATACTTGTGCAAATTCATATTTTTGACGTGAGATTCAAACAGAAATTTCTCTCACCGTTTAATAGGGTAAAACCGGCCATTGTTTCTTCTCAAATAAAGGCTCCGATACGTAAACGAACTACGACCTCACGACATTATGCGACAAGTTTCAGAACAAACAACGTCGTAATGTTCCGCGCAGATGAAAATTAGTTAAAAATTTTGGTTTGAACAGTTTCAAAGTGATTATTTCCTAGTGTTTTCACATTCAAGAATCCATTTGTATTCCAATAGATTATTTTCACACTTTTTTCATTTTTCTATGTCATAATGAAGTATATAAATATTTGATGTTTAATAATTTAATGCATCATGAGGTAACGAATGTTGAAGAGGACGAATATTTTTTACTTGCGATTTCTGTTCTATTAATTAAGATGTGTGTATACATATTCAACAAAAGTTTGAACACATGTATGTATATATAAAATAATTCAAACTTTTTACAAATACGATAAAAGTTTCCTAAATTAATAATTAACGTCAATATTTTGCAAATAGAATAACTTTATATTTGTTAAAATTGTTAAAAATAATTGTTTCCACTATTTCTTAACTAATAAAAATAAAAATTGCATAACTGTATTGCATTTTATACGTATTTTACTTAGCAAAACTGTGGGGCAAAACCGGGTATTTTGAAAATTTTATTTTCCCGCAAGCCATGCAATTCTTTTCTAAAAAGTTTGGCCATTTTCTTACTGTACAAGGGCCAATTAAGAGATTTACCCTTGTATTTCTTGAATTTCTCTCTTTTATTTATTTATTTTTTTTGCCATCCTTTGACTTTTTGCTACGAAGCTAAATACCGATTTTACTCTTTCTTCCTATTTCATGATATGTCAAACCACGTTTTATTCGCATTTTATTTGCATTCGTGTCCTTGCGTCTTTCAATTCTTCATAGATGCCTAAAGCTATACGCAGTTATGGCTGAACCTCTGTGCCCACTAGCCAGCCTCTCGCCTCTCTATGAATAAATGATCGAACGAGAGACCCGGCGGGTCTATCGACGCGGGTAGTTTCTCAACCACAGGGGAAAGAGCTAGTTTATATCGAGCAGATGGCAGGACAGCGG